ATGCTACACCTCCAACATCTAGCAAAAGAAGAGCAAGTCAAGCCCAAAGCCAAAAGAAAGGAGAAAATTATAAAAATCAGAGGAGAAATTAATACAATAGAGACTAAGAAAACAATCCAAAGAATCAATGAATCAAAGAGTTGGTTCTTTGAAAGAATAAATAAAATTGATAAGCCCCTAGCCAACTTATTAAAAAAAAGGAAAGAAAAAGCTCAAATTCATGCAATAAGGAATGAAAAAGGTGAAATCACTACAGACTCTGTGGAAATACAGAAGATCATCAACACCTATTTCAAAAACCTCTACTCTTATAGGTTCGATAACACAGAAGAAATGGACAGATTCCTAGAAACATATGAAGTACTAAAGCTGGGTCAAGAAGATGTAAAACTGCTGAATAACCCAATTTCTATTAATGAAATTGAAAATGTAATTAAGTCCATACCTACAAATAAAAGCCCAGGCCTAGATGGATTCACTGTGGAATTCTACAAGAAATACAAAGAAGACTTAATGCCGACACTCCTCAAACTCTTCAAAGAAATCGAAAGGGAAGAAATCCTACCTAAGTCATTCCTGGAAGCAAATATTACTCTAGTACCAAAACCTAAGAAAGACCCAACTAAAATAGAGTACTACAGGACAATCTCCCTAATGAACATGGATGCAAAAATCCTCAATAAAATATTGGCAAACAGAATGCAGCAAATCATCAAGATTATATACCATGACCAAATGGGATTCATCCCAGGCAGGCAGGGATGGTTCAACATATGTAAATCAATAAATGTAATCCACCATATCAATAAAGCCAAAAGTGAGAATCACATGATCATTTCTATAGATGCAGAAAAAGCTGCTGATAAGGTGCAACATTCATTCATGATAAGATCCTTACAGAAAATTGGAATAGATGGTCTCCACTTCAACATGATAAAGGCCATCTATGACAAACCAACAGCCAGAATCATATTAAATGGCCAAAAACTGAAGGCCTTTACCTTAAAATCAGGCAAAAGACAAGGATGTCCCTTATCACTGCTCCTACTCAACATAGTACTGGAAATACTAGCCAGAGCAATCAGACAAGAGAAAGAAATAAAAGGGATAAAGATAGGAAAAGAGGAAGTAAAATTATCATTATTTGCATATGACATGATACTCTACATACAAGACCCCCAAAACTCCATTGAAATTCTCCTAGATATAATAAATAAATTCAGCAATGTAGCTGGATACAAAATCAATATTCAAAAATCAATAACAACAAAATCAGTGAGAGCAAAATAAGAGAAGTCACACTCTTCACACTAGCATCCAAAAAAATGAAATATTTAGGAGTTAATCTCACAAAAGAAGTAAAAGATCTATACAGGGAAAATTATAATATCCTGAAAAAAGAAATCAAAGAGAATCTCAGAAAATGGAAAGACATCCCTTGTTCATGGATAGTAAGACTAAATATTGTGAAAATGGCCATTCTTCCAAAACTGTTATACAGATTCAATGCAATCCCAATGAAAATACCATCAACATACCTCATAGATCTAGACAAATCACTCCTAAAATTCATCTGGTGCGAGAAGAGACCTAAAATAGCAAAGGCAATTCTAAGAAGCAAAGGCAAGGCAGGAGGCATCACAATCCCTGACTTGAAGTTATACTACAAAGCATCTGTACTAAAATCAACATGGTACTGGAATAAAAACAGACCTGAAGATCAATGGAATAGATTAGAAGATACAACCACAACTACCAACACACTTAACCACCTTATCTTTGATAAAGAGGCGAAACACACTCAATGAAAGAATGGACAGTCTCTTTAATAAATGGTGCTGGGAAAACTGGCTCTCCATATGCTAAAAACTAAAACTAGACCCATGCATATCACCATGTACTAAACTAAAATCTAAATGGATAAAACATCTGAATTTTAAAACAGAAACACTAAATCTGTTGGAAGGCAAATGTGGTAAAAATCTTGAAGATATAAGGGTAGGTAGAGAATTCATGAACAGGAATCAAACGGGAAATACTTCCCAAAGTCAATAACTGGGATCACGTCTTATTAAAAAGTTTCTGCATGTCAAAAGAAATCTCCAGCATAGTGAAAAGAAAACCTACAAACTGGGGAAAAAATCTTGGTGATCTGTCCCTCAGACAAAGGACTTCTGTCTAAAACATATAAAGAATTTTTAAAAATCAAACCCCCGAAATTTAAAGACCCAATCCAAAAATGGGCATCTGAGATGAACACACAGTTCTCAGATAAAGAAATACAAATGGCCAATAAATACATGAAAAAATGTTCATCATCATTAGTTATGAAGGAATTGCAAATTAAAACAACACTGAAATTTCATCTCACTCCAGAAAGAATGACCAGGATTAAGAAAATTACCAACAAACGCTGGAGAGGCTGTGGGGAAAAAGGAACTCTCCTGCACTGTTGGTGGGAGTGTACACTGGTGCAACCACTGTGAAGATCAGTCTGGTCTGGAGATTTCTCAATAAGGTGGGATTGGAAGTCCCATTTGATCCAGCTATTTCACTTCTAGGCATATTTCCAAAGGAATTAGAAACATCATACCACAGTGATATATATGCAGCCACGTTTATAACAGCACAATTTGTAATAGCCAGATCTTGAAAACAACCTATGTGTCCAACAACTAAGGAATGGATAAAAAGGTTGTGGTATTTTTATACAATGGAGTACTACTCAGCTATAAAGAATGACCACATTGAGATATTTATAAATAAATGGGTGCAACTTGAGACCATATTCATAAGCAAAATAAATCAAACTCACATGTATAAATACCATATAGTCTCCCTAGTGTAAGAAATGGTAAGGGTACATAAGAGTTTATGGTAATAATGATTCCCCATTTAACATTGTTTTGAAGCCTTATAATGTTTCCATTCTTTAGTTGGAATGGTTTTATCCTGGGTTGTTTGATTTTATTATATTATGGTATGAACAGCTATTTTGCAGAAAACAAGACATTATAATAGCCAGTGGTTTTTTCATATCATCTTATTTTGAAGTCCTACCATACTTTTGTTCTGCTGTTTCCATTGGTTCTATCATGTAGTATCTTATTGGATTTTATCATGTGTGGTAGTAGAAACAAATTTTTTATTGACAATGAGATAATATAGTAACCATTGTTCATTTTTTCTGTTATTTGGTTCTGAATGCACTGTAATACTTTCATTCTCTTTAATGGCTTTATACTATTTTGTTATGTTTGATACTATTGTATATGAAGATGCTCAACTATTTCAAGGAAAGAGACATTATGGTAGCTACTGTCATATCATGTCTTGTGGTGAAATACTGTTTTGCTTAAATTGTTCTGTTCTGATCTGCTGTTATGTCCTCTTTTATCTTAATCTCTTTAAAATAAAAAAAAATTTTTTTGGTCTTTTTCCTTTTTATTGGTACTGGGGATCGAACTCATGACTGCCTGCTTGCAAGGCAGGCGCTTATGCTGCTGAGCTAAATCCCCAGCCCCTTAAAATAAAAAAAATTTTAAAAATTAAGACACTATTGCCAACAACAGTGAGGTAAGTGTTTGAAACAAGGAATTACAAGGTTTGAGGGGAGATTCCTGCAATATTTGTTTACTGTAATACATTTTATATCTAAACACCACGTTTTTTATCACCTCATTGACCAATTGTGCATGGCAATTTCTAGCAAATAAAAATATTACAGTGGGTCTCCAGGTTCAAAAGAAAAACAGGTTGAGATTCCTAATTTATGTTATTAATCTTCTTTTAAGTGAATTTTTTGGAAGAAAAAAGTACAATTCTAATCTTGATTATTTGTTTTTAAAATTTTTCTGTCCTGCCTTAGCCAGATCTGCCACTATGCAAACTCAAATTGATCAAAGAAGATAAGTGTGAATCACTTCTGGCCACCAAAGCAGCCAAGACAACGCTACTGAAGACACTCAGGAAAGAAGACTTCCACAACTGCTTCAGAAAGTGCAAAAAGGCTGGCATAAGTGTGTCGGATGTGAGGGGCAATATTTTGAAGAGGATCCATGGCAATTCTTTTTACTGTTATAAATTTAAATTTTTAAACATGCATTTTATTTTTCGCTCATTGTGTGAGCGAAACAGACAATAACTATAAAAATCCGAAGTTCTCGTGTGCAACGAGGTCTGTATATTCATCTGACAGAATTTGGAGCGCTCCTCCCAAGCCTTGGACGCCTTGAAACGGGACACTACAAACTGGAACTTTAAAAGTTAAACGTTTTTTTCTTAGTGATGAGCAACTTCTCCATACTTCCTGGTTAAGTTAAAGAATAGTCAGGTGCTCACAGCCGGAGGCCTGGAGCCCAGGTTCTTTTCCACAAGAAAGGGGACAAGGAACGGACTCCGCTTGGAAGTGACAGAAACAAGTGTGTGGCTCTGCCCGCCTGCACTGCCCCTCAGCAGGTTCCTTACTGTAAAAGTCCCTCGCCTATCTGTACACCGGGTGACGGTGATTTGAGACAAACGGGCCGCTCCGTCTCCTGAGAGTTTTGAACAAATGCTTGTTTGTCTGCTCCTTGTTACCAAACTGTACGGCCTCCTTTGATTTCTAGAGCAAAGGAGCCCGAGTTTACGAACCCAAGCGCGCGCCGACACCCTGGCCCCCCGCCTCCGACCCTCCTTTGCAGATCTGGCCTCCAGAGCGCACGCATTCCCCAGTCCTGGCGAGCCAGTGGAACCACTATGGTGAGTGCCCATGCGCACACGCACGTGTCCTCCCACGGCTGCAAAACAGCCCGGCTCTTCCTCCCTGTCCACCCGCAGCAGGCTCCGCAGGACAGCGGGCTGAGCAGTCCCTGCCAGCCCGGGACTAACAGGCCCGGCGCGCGCGCGCAGGGAGGAGGTTGGGGTGCGCGCGGGGACGGGGCCTGCTGACATCAGCGCGCTCCTCCCCTCGCCTCCCAACACCCTCAGCTCCGGGCCAGACCCTCCCTCCTCCCACCACGTGTCCTCCCCGCTCCCTCCCGAGGGGCAGCGCGCACGGGCAGCCGGGCAGGCGGAAAGGATGGCGCCGTGACAGCCGGGCCGCAGTCCCTGCGTGCCCCCGCCCGCCCGCGGTCCGGCCCGCAGCCGCCGCCCGGCCCGGGGTGAGTGCGCGCGGCGCGGGGACTGCGAGGATCGCTCCGGGCGCGGCGGGGTAGACGGGGCGGGAATCGGGGTCCAAGGCTGCAGCTCCTGCCGTCGCCGCCGCCGCCTTTGTTGCAGGCGGGCCAGGGCAGGCGGGTGGCGCCGGCTTTCGCCACCCGGCAGGTGCGCCGGGGTGGGCCGGGAGGTGCCGGGGGCGCGGAGAAAGAGAAACGGGGCAAGATGGCTGGAGCGACCGAGCGCGCCGGCTCCGAGGCGCTGGTGGGCGGCCTGGCCGCGGGCACCTCGGCACGGGGCGGGGCCCTCCTACCCCGCCCTCTCCTCGCCTGCCCTCCCCCCCCCCGCGCGCCTGCCTCCTCCGCCCCCCCCCCTTTAAATATCCAAGCTGACTTTGAACTCAAATAATCATTTCTTGGGAAACCGGAGAGCATATGACCCATGCTGTGCACATTCGGTCCACATCGAGGAATTGCCCGCGTCCCCAGAGGGCCAGAGCTCGGCCCTTTGTACTGTACAAGCTCAGGGATTCTTGGGCAAACAGAATTTGCATTTGTGTCCTAAAGGCAAGAAGTCATTTACAGGCTTGGGTGGACGCCCGGCATAGTTTTGCACCTCTGTGATTATCCAGCTCTATCTCTCCCCAGGTGTCACTGACTGGGTTTTGGAAAGACCTTTAAGGTAGATTGGTTTGTATTTGTTTTGTTTTTGAACTAGCTCTTGGACAGCGCCTTTGAATTTGGAAAATCCAGATAATCGGTACAGTTTTCTGGACGAACTAACCATTGCCTCTATACTCACTGGCTTCTAGTATCAACCCAGTTAAGTGTCCTGTTCACTGATAGAAAGTCAGCACTCTCCTTTGATTCGCTGTCTGCGGTGCTCCTGACTGTGGGAAAGTTCTCCTTTCCCGTGCACTGTTTAAAACCTCTTTCTGGAATGCTTACCCACTAGCCTCAGAGCTCCCTTGGGTCTTTACAAACCAGTCACTGCCTCTCTGCCACACAGAAAGCTCCTAAATATTTGAAGGCAGCCAGATGTTACCTACCACCGTCCCTCTTATCATTAAATATGCCAGCTTCCAGCTTGTTGGTAGTTTCCTTGAAACCCATCCTGCCCAGGCCCAGCTATTCCCTGTCTTCATTCCAGCCACAACAGTACTCAGGGCTAAGGTTTGTGGGTGGCTGAGCCTTCTCCAAGCTTTCACATTGACCTCTTTTTTTTCCAAATTCAATCTTGTTGCAGAGATGGAGTCCACAGCCTACCCTCTCAATTTGACCCTGAAAGAAGAGCAAGAGGAAGAAGAGATTCAGAGCCGGGAACTGGAGGATGGCCCCGCAGATATGCAGAAAGTCCGAATCTGTTCAGAGGGTGGATGGGTAAGTAGGAAGGGGTGGGGGCTATGCACAAGGTGAGGAACCAACCTAGAAGCCAGGCTTGCTTTCAGTCTCCTGGGACAGAGGAGAAGTAAAAATAGCCCAGCCCTTGGATGTTGCATTCCTGAGAAAACAGCCCTGTGGCTTTAAAAGGCAGTGCAGAGTGGTGAGTGGTGAAGGTGGTTGTGGGAACAGTCCTTTCATCCTTGAGACTTATCATCATCAGATCAAAAGTCTCAGAAGCTGAGACATTGTCCTCATCTTCCACCTGTTGGGCAACACCCTGCTGCAGAACATGCACAGAAAAAGTGCACAGACTCTTGGCTATGAAGGGAACTGTTTTAAATAAGACTTGGGTCACAGAGCTGACATAAGGAGAGGCTAGACTTACAGTAGTTCACCCAGGAGGGCTGCGTGTCTACCCAGCCTAGACTGAATTGATGGGCAGCCAGGAACAGGGCTATGCAAAGAGAAAAGCAATAGAAGTACAATAAACTAAACGGACGGAAGTGGACCAGGTACTTATAGTTATGTATATTATTCATAGTAGTTATTGAGCTTCATGGAAATTGGTTTGAACTGTGAAGATTTTAAATAAACAATAAATTGGCCTTGCCCTACTTAGTTTTCCATTGTCTGAAAACTTTATTAGTGTCATTAGTGCCTGTTGTCCCTTTTTTCCAAGAAGAAGCCCCAGTTCATAGAACGTTGCCAGTTCCAAATTATCCCGTCTACCCTGCACCCCCATGACGGGGCTGGAGTACAGAAAGCTCATCTATTCTGCCCCAGGATGTACATGTGCACTGATACTTGTTCATAAAAATAGACCTGAGTTGCACTATTAAAACCAGTGCATTTTATTGTGTATATATTATACCTCAGTAAACAAACAGTGCCAAAGCCAGGCACTGGGACTGCAGTCTGGCTGTGGAGGCTATGCTTTGTCTTGGCACGGTTCCTTGCCCACCTTGTCCTCTTCCCCAGTCTGACCCAAGCAGGAGGCAGTCCCATCTGGGTGGAAGCCAGTGAAACCCGGGGCTTTCAGACTCTATTGGGCAGCACAGAACACCTAAATGGAGTAGAGAGCTATGGAAAACAAGTGTTCTGAAGGTGACTATCTGAATATGTTGGAGCGATGAGAAAAGAGCCAGGTGAAGATCTAGCACAGGCCAGAAAACCACGAAATAGCCAGAGGAAGTAGAGGAGGGAGCCAGGCACCTTGATGGCGGATTTTGCATTTGTGACCTCCAGGCAGTCTGCTCTCCATCTGCTGTTACCCGTGGTGCTGGGTGTTAAGACAAGGTTTCTGCCCTCATGGAATTCATAGTCTGGTGAGAAAGACTAGGAAGTAACCAAGATTGGGGGGGGAGTCCCACTCAGAGCATGCGCTTCCTGAGGAAGCTAAGTCTTGAGCACTGGAGTATTTTGTCCCCTTCTAGCCCTAGAACATTTTAGCAATATCTGGAGACACTTTTGGTTGTTATGATTCGAAGTGAGGGTCCAGGAGTATATTTAAGCCAAGGACCTACTTAAACATTTAAATTTTAAATTTTAAAATGCACAAGACAGCCTGGCAGATACAGCAAAGAATTAACTTGGTAGTATAAGGTTATGAAAGACTGCACTATGATATTAAATTAGGGAAAGGAAAGAATGGAGCCTTGTATTTTAAATAGATGTATTTTGGTTTGTAGAGAGTGTTGTTAGGATGATTAACAAAAGGCACTCAGACATACGGACTGTGTTCTGTATGGTAATAAAACTCCATAGAATTGGAATGGAGATACAATTTCATGTACAAAAACAAAACAAAAAAAAACCCCAAACATACTTTGAACTGAGCCTTCATCATGAGTGGAATGAGCCAAAGGGAAAGGAGGGGGTTTGTACTGTGTGCAGTTAGGAGTTGTTCTAGAAGCAAGAACTAAGCACCAGGCAGGCAGTGGAAGAGGATAGGGCTGAAGTAGGCCAGGCAAAGGGCCAGCACCAGCCATGAGGGTGTGGCGTGCTGCACTGAGTTTGAACTCTGTCTCTAGAAAAATTAGTTCTTATCCCATCTTTCTAAGGGAAGCCCCAGGCTCCATCGGCACCTGTGTGGCCTGCTGGGAAAGTAAGGGCTTGGGAATCAGATTCTTGCTCCATGACTTGGGTGGGCACGCTACTTGGCCATTGTACCTTTACCCACAAAGGTAAGGTCGTGATCCCACATCCCTAGCATATTTTAAATAGTCCAAGAGAGAATATCTTTAGATAAACTGGGGGGCCCCCTGAAGTACCCAGTGCATAGCAGGTGCTCCACGCAAACTCCAAACTCATTTCTTTCGAATCCCTGCTGGCTTGGCTGAGTGACTGTGAGGCTGTACAGTTACCCTTTGAAATAAGTGTTGGAATGCCAGCCTTGCATCGGAGTGTACAACCCAAAGGAGGAACGTTGCTCTGCTGAACCCTTGACCTGAGGGAAGGAAGTGGGCAGGGATGGAGGCCTCCACCTGGAAGGCCCAGAAAGGATGTCTGGAGACTGACCACAGATGTCTGACGTCTCCATTCTGCCCCTGGCTGACCCTGTTTACCTTCTGCTGCATTCGGCCAGATAAAAGGCTTCTGTGGTTCCCAAGGAGGCCCACACAGCAGGGCTGCTGGAGCCTGGCAGTCCAGAGAGGGCTGTGAGGGGAATTTCTAAGCACTGCCCTGTGCCTCCGGCAAATCGTGTGGGCTTGTGGAAGCTCAGTCATTATTAGGGGATAAACACCACCGCAGCCTCCAGCTTCCTTCTCATTGCCTCCAGTGGCCTGCGACCTAATGCTTTTCCAGAACGTGTCCCCCTCTCTGCAGTGACGGGCATAGCCAAGCTGTGTCCTGTTTTATCAGCTAAGGAGAAGAGATTTAATTAGGTATGGCCTAGATCTGGAACTTCCTAGGGAAAGAAAAAACCAAAGAAAGAGCTGTTTAAAAGCCTGTGAAGTAGGAAGGGGGAAGGGTAGAAAATGCCTGAGCTCTCTGGTTTTCTAGATTGAGGAAGAGATCTGAGGAAAATCCAAACCGACCCATCTTTACCTCCTGAAATGTCACACTTGCCCATTACAGAGCATCGGCTCGGTTTTGTGACAGATAAAATTTAACAGTTCTTTGACACAGTTCCAAGTGCGGCAAGAGGAGGGAAATCCAGTGACTATTTACCTAGATTATTCACTCAAAAACATTCTAAGTGACTCAACTACAGGAAGCACTCTAAGCTTAGGGAAGCAAAATCCAAGCTCTGTCCATAGCACGGTCCCATTTTAATGGACAGGAGAAGTAAAGCAAAAGAACACTGCCATGTCACAGGTACCAGCACGGCGATTTGCCAGCAGCCAGGACAAAGCAGGTTTCCTGAGGAGTAGGTTGCTTTGCCTGAGTCATGGGAGATGGGTTGGTGTTAGCCAGGCCCAGCGTGAGGCTGACCTCTGAGGCCCAGGGGAAGAATGGTCAGAGATGTGCAGATGTTCCAGAATGACAAGCAGCAAGGAACAGCTGCAGCACAGAGGTGGCAGTCACACCAGGGGTGGCTTTGCTCTCAGTAGCCAGAGGCTTGGAATCGCATGGTGCTGGATCCGGCTTTCACCGTGTATCAGCTGTGTGACTTTAGCTTGGAAAAACGAGGCCTCTCATAGCCCATTTCCTCCTTGATTTACCTGGGGTGTCTCTGTTCCTTCACAGGATTGTTGGGGGAAATCAGTGAAGCAGTTGCAGGGCCTTTCCTAGTAAGTGCTCCCTAGGGGTGTGGAAGGTGCTCTGGGTTGGGGTGGGCCTCTTTGGTTGAGGGAAGAAAGACCGACCAGGTGAGGGAAGAGAGACCAGTTATTGAAGAGTTGATTGGCAGCCTGACCCCTGATCAGGCAGCAGTCTGTAGACACTGATTTCCCAAAGCTGCAGAAGAACAGTATCCCTAGACTCACTAAGCTTCGGGGGACAACTCTGAAGGCCAGGCTGAAACAAGGTGTCCAGTAGTTTCTCACCACTGCATATGGTCAGCTTTGGAGAGGACTTTTTAGTGACCAAGAAAAAATAGCAAAAAGGAAAGCAATTTGATTTAAAGGGCTGGTGTTGATGACTTGACCCCTGGTGGCTAGTGGGACACCCCCTCCTGCTCAGGGCAAGAAGCGGGAGAGGAAAGGATGAGGGGCATGGGTTTCTCTACTGACCTGGTCTGGGCATCACAGCAAATGCACTTGCACCAGGCACTCCTTTCATAAATCAAGCTCTAATTAACCCTTCTCTTGCCGGCCCCTTTCTGAGGACTTTAGATTCCAAGTCAAACACAAAGGTTAGTATTCTTGAACATGGAGTGTCCTGAAAAATGACAGAGATCCCGAGGGAAGCATTAACCCTTTTCAAATTCTCAAACCCCCTCCTCGCCTTTGGCTGAGGGTCTGTGGGCTGCAGGTTGGGTTGAGTGGGTTCGGGCTGCTTCATCTGGGTGTGGCTGACCCCTGGTGGTAGAGTCTAGGGTGAAATGCAAGCCTTTCTCATGCAGTGCATAGGAGTGGGGAGTGGTGACAACATCCAGTGTCCCCAACCTGGTGATGGGCAATAGAAGGGCTCCCTTCTCAAAGTGCTGCTTGTTGTATTTGGGAACTGAGGTGGAGGCTGGTGGAAGCTGCTGTACTAGGCACCAAAGGGCCTGTCCTCTTACCCTTGCCTGGCCGCCAGAAGCCACAGGAATGTGGATAGACCTTTTCATGGGGCAGGACATGACCTGCAAGATGGAGGGAAAGGGAGGCTATGTGGTTGCTCTGTGAGACCCTCGTGGGCTCTGATGGTCTATGTCTGCCTGTACATGTGAACCTTGAAAAGCCCGTTCATGTTCCAGGTACCAGCCCTATTTGACGAGGTGGCCATATATTTTTCCGACGAAGAGTGGGAAGTTTTGACGGAGCAACAAAAGGCTCTCTACCGGGAAGTCATGAGGATGAATTACGAAACTGTTCTGTCCCTCGGTAAAGCTTTGCTTTCTTTTGTTTCATGGAAGCTCTGAGCCCAGAGAATTGTTTGCATGCCTGTGTTCACCAGTGTATCTGACTTCCTTCCCTCCTGAACTTGAACTGTCCTCCCTCATACCTGTGTCCGTCCCATTTCTTGCTTTTGATTTAAACAGGATGGAATAGTACATCCTACTACTCAGTGACTTATGCCACCTCTTAGAATTTTCCTTGTTTAAGCCAGGCATTCACATTTTTTAAAAAAATTCATAAACCTGGATGTATGTCTGTAATCCAGCAGTCTGTGATGCTGAGGCAGTAGAGTTGTAAATTCTAGCCCGGCAGGATAACTTACAAAGACCCTATCTCAAAATAAAAAAATGGAGCAACCATTGGAAGTATAACTCAGTATGAAGGCCCTGGGCTTAATCCTCATTATTGCAAAGAGAAAAATGAATATAACCTTAAAAATGTCACTGGATCAGGGCCTATTGCTTTGTTGTTCCTTGGGAAAGAAGGCCAGTGTCAGCCTCAGGAACTTGGGGACATTGCCCCAAAAGATGCCCCTCCCCTGATATTTGTATCCCCCATCTTATCAGCATATAACCATTTGGAGGATTTCCCAGTTCGATCATTCAGCTCCCAAAATGTTCACTGGATCAATGGCTGCACCCATCCAGTTTGTCTACTAAATGCCAAGAAAGTCACTTGGACAGACCTATTTCCTGCCCTTTTTTTTTTTAAATTATGACCAGGCTTTTTCCCTGTCTTTCACAAGACTAGAAACATAGGGGTTTAAGTATTACAAAGTATGGTATTTATTTTGTGTTATTCCAGGATGCAAACACACAGCTCATACCTGTTTTTATTTCCTGTAAACAGAATTCCCATTCCCTAAGCCAGACATGATCAGCCGGTTGGAACAGGAGGAAGAATCTCCTAATTCCGATAAGTGGCAACTCCAAAGAGGAACCTCTGCAGGTACTACAAGTAAATCACTTCAGCATGCATCCAAAGAGGAGCGTTCGGGCTGGGGAGTTAGCTCAGTGGCATAAGCGCCTGCCTGGCAAGCGTGAGGTCATGAGTTCGGTCCCCACTACCAAAAAGACAAACAAAGGGGAGCAGTCTGAAGCGAGATTCTCAGTTTCCATTGATATTCTGGAAGGTATTCAGAAAGGAGGTGGGGCTGGAAGACACAAGATTATGGGCTTTGGAGTTTTAAAATCTCCTGATTTCCATGCTTAACTGCGTGACCTTAGGCAGCATTCTGGGCTTCTGTGTCTTCATGTATCAGATGTGGGTTTCAGTAGGACTTGATGTGCAACCTTGTATATGGCTTGAGTGAAACGAGGCTCCTTTAGCATTTGGTCCTGTGCACATGCTGAGTATATGTGGCCACCTCAGCAGCACACCATGTGCCTCTTGCAGACTAAGGAACAGTGATAGAGGTGTGTTGCCAGAGTTACTTTGGCTTCCTGTTCATTTCAGAGCAAAGGCAGTAACAGGTACAATATACATTTGAGCAAATGTGTCAAAAAAGCACCTAGAGCTTCATCAACAAAACTGGTAAGGAGGGTGGCAGTTGGATAAATACAGCATTGCTTCCAGACAACCAAAATCACTTTATTTGCTTTTTCTGTAGGTGAGAACTTAAAATGCCATGTTTCATGTACTTATTCCCTACCATTTTAACAGCTCTGAAATAGAGAATGCCTGTTAAAATCCATGGCATGTGATAGTTATAATTAGTGGCAATGTTTTCTTTTAATGATGTGTACCAGTGCCTCGTACAACTTAGGGCATTTCAGTTTTGGTGATACACGGTAGTTTTCCCAAAGCGTATTCAATTTCTGTGACCACCTTCTAAATATAAAAAATATAAAAGTAGTTCTAACATTAGTATACAAGAACCAGTTTTCTGTCTGTAAAACTTAAACGATAACATTGCAAATACGATCTTTGCTATAGGTTGCTTGGATTCAAGAGATAGCTTTTAGCCAAATCTCTGTACTATTAGATGATAGTATGGGTTACATGTGGATTCTCATTCACGAAAACATTATTGTGGCCCCCAAATGGCTTCTAAAGCACTTGGTGCAAGAATGATACTTATGTCCAGTTCCACTGGAAGTTCTTAGCTTCTTCCTAGCTTGTCCCCTGATGCATTTCATAGGTTCTGTCACCTCCCTTTCCTCATCTGCAAAGAAGGGTAGTGATCCACACAATGTCTGGAAGAATTCCTTTTGGTGGTCCCTATAAGGATTTAGACTACATTATAGTAAAAGTTAGGATTTTTGGTGAACCTCAGGTTAAGCATTTTGGCCCAGAGTCTTGAATGATCATTATACCTAACTGACATTGGTTTTCTTTCTTCCTGTTTGTCTCCCAGAAAATGAAGAATCTGACCTTAAGCCCCCAGACTGGACAAACCCCCTGCACACTGCTTCCCAGTTTCCATCACCTCAACAGCTTGACAGGTTCAGCCTGCGTCTGCCTCGGTGTATCACAGAGCTGCCCGAGTGGAGCGAGGGGTACCCTTTCTACATGGCCATGGGCTTCCCAGGCTACGATTTCTCGGCTGACGACATAGCTGCGAAGTTTCAGTTCAGCCGAGGCATGCGCCGAAGTTACGATGCTGGGTTCAAGCTGATGGTAGTGGAGTACGCTGAGAGCACCAACAACTGCCAGGCTGCCAAGCAGTTTGGGGTGTTAGAAAAAAATGTTCGAGACTGGCGCAAAGTGAAACCACAGCTCCAAAATGCGCACGCCATGCGGCGGGCATTTCGAGGTCCCAAAAATGGGAGGTTTGCTCTGGTGGACCAGCGTGTGGCTGAGTACGTCCGGTATATGCAGGCCAAAGGGGATCCTATCACCCGGGAGGCCATGCAGCTGAAAGCTCTGGAGATCGCCCAGGAGATGAACATTCCAGAGAAAGGGTTCAAGGCAAGCCTGGGTTGGTGTCGAAGGATGATGAGGAGGTATGACCTGTCTCTGAGGCATAAAGTGCCTGTGCCCCAGCACCTGCCTGAAGACCTGACTGAGAAGCTTGTCACATACCAGCGCAGCGTGCTGGCTCTGCGCAGGGCCCATTACTACGAGGTGGCACAGATGGGGAATGCGGACGAGACGCCAATCTGCTTAGAGGTGCCATCCAGGGTGACTGTGGACAACCAGGGTGAAAAGCCCGTTTTGGTCAAGACGCCAGGCAGGGAGAAACTGAAGATCACTGCAATGCTGGGTGTCTTGGCTGATGGGAGGAAGTTACCTCCATACATCATTTTGAGGGGGACATATATCCCCCCTGGGAAATTTCCCAGTGGGATGGAGATCCGCTGCCACCGCTATGGGTGGATGACTGAGGATTTGATGCAGGACTGGTTGGAAGTGGTGTGGAGACGGAGGACAGGAGCTGCGGGAACAGTGCCCAAGCAGCGGGGGATGCTGATCTTGAACGGCTTCCGGGGTCACGCCACTGACTCGGTGAAGAGCTCCATGGAAAATATGAACACTGACATGGTGATCATCCCTGGGGGCCTGACCTCCCAGCTACAGGTGCTGGATGTGGTGGTGTACAAACCACTCAATGACAGCGTGCGGGCCCAATACTCCAACTGGCTTCTGGCCGGGAACCTGGCACTGAGCCCCACGGGGAATGCCAAGAAGCCACCCCTGGGCCTCTTCCTGGAGTGGGTCATGGTTGCGTGGAATAGCATCTCGAGTGAGTCCATTGTCCAAGGATTTAAGAAGTGCCACATCTCCAGCAACTTGGAGGAGGAAGATGATGTGCTGTGGGAAATCGAGGGCGAGCTGCCAGGAGGGGTTGAGCCGCCAAAAGATTGTGACACTGAAAGCATGCAGGAGGGCCACTGAAGGACAAGTTCAGGTAACTGCCCGGGCATAGATGCTCAGGGTCTTTGCTGATGGACATGTTTGTGTTCACACACACCTTTCTCTTTGTCAGATTGTCTCAGGCTACAGCGTCGTCATGTAGGTAAAACATCGTCAGTATTTTCTCTTTGTAGGAAACGTTGATTGCTTGGCTTGCTTTTAGTGTGTGTATAGTTTGTGGCCTGGACCTGTGGAGTGTGTGTAAAATGAGCAGAGGGTGAGCTGCCAGAGCATTTCATCTGTAAGTGGTAATGTCGAAAGAAATTATTTGGTCCTGAGAGTGTAGTCAGACATAGCTCCTTTCATAAAAAGTTTCATCTAAAAAGACGAATTTCTTCTTTCCCTTGTAAATAAATCATGTGCTGAGCATTTAGGGCCAGTAGGACGGGGGTGGTACAGTGTCCTGTGGGCCTCATATCTCTGTCCTGGGGTCGTCTGCACTGTGCTTCCCAGATGGATACAAGTTTAGCCTCTGGCTGCTTTCCCCAAGGATTTCCATCATCTTTGTGTCATCCTCAGCTTCCGGTGGAGCAAGCAGCTATGGTAATTTCCTATAGTGAGCAGATGTCTGAAGGAAGGTGTTTTTAAATGGAATCTTTACACTAGAGGATTAAAATAAAACAGTGCTTATTTAGAACTGCTGGGAGTAAAGTGTGAAGCCCAAGGACAGTAGCACTGAGGTCAGAGGAGCAGCAGGGGTCTTTTTGGTACCGCACCGGGATCTCATGCTTGCCAGGCAGATGCTTACGCTGCTGAGCTAAATCCCCAACAAGAGGAGCAAGTGAGGAATGGAAGCCAATCAGAACCAACCCTGCTGAAATGAGCACATAGCTTCTACTCACCTCCCCCACACCCCAGTGACGTAGGGGAGTAGCCACACACAGTAGGAGACAGGCAAACCTGAGCAGACAGCTAGCTTTAACTCACAGTCTCATTTTCCAATTAGCATGTACCCTGTGCCTCCAGATGGTGATTTAAAAGGGATGAAGCCATTCCTTTGACAGAGGACCTAAAGCCATCTTGACACTCTTTTTTCTGTCTTAAAAGTATAGTTAGGTGTTTGTGTTCCTCCTTTTTCTTGCAAGTAAAACACTAATACGAATCTTCTTCCAGCCCACTTTCTGCTGTTTTAAGCCTATCTGTGTGTTAAAGTGTGACTTACACCTCCTTCCTTTCTCCCAAACAAGTTGTACTCATAACACTGGATTCCACTGTAGTTCTGGGATCCCTGAATGCTCCAAATCACTGAATTTTTTTTTCCTCTCATGCCCTATCTTGTTAAAAATTCTGTAAATTCAGCCTCCCTTTTCTGATCATTCACTATTTCAACTGGTTATCAAACTTTGGATTATCTCAAATTTTAATCATTCTATATGTGTTTTTCACCCGTGTGTATGTTTTTCACCCCTTGTTAAGATAACATTTTTTGGTATTTCCAATTTTTAAGCTGTTCCCTACCCAAGGGACCAGATCAAACACTTAGAAAAAGATAGAGAAGAAACGTCTACCAGGCTGCAGCCATGAACTTCTGTTCCCTACCTGAGTGAGCTTTTGCTCCTTTAGATGGGCACTATCTTCTTGTGGCAGAGGAAATGACAGAAATGACTGAGATATAGGGGATGCCCTGGCACAAAACTGCCTTTTGCCATCTATTTGGAAATTGACAAATGAAATTACTGTTGTTTTAAATGGTTAAGGTACTCAAAAATAAAAGGGTTACTTCACACTTAGGTTCTGTCTGTTTTCTAGCGGATGGACCTGGGATGGAAACAGTTATGAAGGAGAATCCTCAAGATATTCCTGAAAGTGTGAATGCAGAGGAGCAGCAGGAAGAGCATCTGGGCTCTGAATAGCCTGGGGGTAGACCAGGGCCACGATCCAATCCCTCTACCCCAGCCCTGAAAGATGTCAGCAACATCGTAAGACCCTGCATTTCAACAACCACGAGGAGCCAAGAAACTTTCTGCCCCTTGTTTTGGAGAGTCCTTCATGTGTCCATCAGAAAAAAACTGTAAATAGGAATGAACAAAATATTTCTTGGGAGAAGAGGCCATTTGGTCAACACCAAGAGACTCATGGGCAGAACTCTCAGTGTCCTTTCTGTGGAGAAAACCTCAAGTACATCTTTTATTCTGCCTCTGAAAATGCTTCCAGAAGTAGAACTTGTCCCACACAGGTCAAGGCTATGGAGAAGGCTTTTTGTAGAAATGTGTCATGTACACCCACTGCTTACACATCCCTTTCAGGAAAATCAGATGCTAATGATAACAGTAAAATTAAGGCAAATGGCCTGGCTCCTGCAGATGGCCTTTCTATAGACAAACTAGATTAGTGTGGAAGATACAGGTTAAAAGAAACTGTGCTGTTCTATTTATCGTCCCAATCTGTTGGCAGCTAGAGACTTTCAGGGTTGTGCTTAATGGCCCTCTACTTAATGATCAGGCAGCATGGAGTCCACAAGCCCTTCCATTTCTCAGGCTGCCTGCAGAAGTCACTGAATTATCTGCTTTCTGCAGAGTCCATGGTCCACTGACTCACCTACTTGTTTTATTTTAATGTTTCTATCACAGGGCAGTAGGAAGACTTGAACCTTTAGCCACAGCTGTTTCAAGACTTCAACCCTGCAGTAATAAGTGGAAAGTCATCAAAATTTTACACACTAGCGATGGGCATTCCCACATAGGTCGAGTGTTACAAAAACATTCCTTAAAGCTATCTGTGCTGCAGCAAAGTACGCCAGAACCTCAGACCAAGCCATTCCAACGTCGAGTCTGGCTACGACCACTTTACTTCCTGTAGACTCAGCTCATGTGAATATTCCAAGCTGTTCTTGGGCCAGGGGTTTAGCTCAGCAGTGTAAGTGCCTACTTGGCAAACACAAAAGTGCCGAGTTTGATCCCCTGTACCAAAAAAAAAAAGCTGTTCTTGGCATCTTGTACTCAGGTACTCATTCTCCTGTTACTGATTTACCTTTCTGATTTTTCTTAAACCAGTTTCCCACTCTTCCACATACAAGGTGGGGGGGATTTCTGTTTGTATCTGAATAACTTTCAGTGTTTTGAATTGTTTGCCCGTTCCTGCAACTATATTCCTGGTCATCCAAAATTAGCATCTAACCCATTACTGTCCATTCCAGAAATTTCCACTCCCTCCATTTCTACCTAATTTTCCTTCTACTTAACTGTCCTACTTCTTGGCCCTTTCTTCTTCGTGTCATATTTCTCTGCTTTGGGAGCTTAAAAGATGCTGCAAGACTTAATTGTGCGTTCCTGCATGGAAAGAGTCATGTTGCTGAGAAGAGTAGAAAATGGGTTCGATTTTTACTCCATGACACCTCTTTAGCCTCAACTTCAGCTGAGAGATGATGCCTTACAGGTTGCACAGCACTGGAACTTTCCTAGTGATGGCTCTGCTGTCAGGGTCTTGTGGACTCACCCTTCCAGACTTAATGACCTAATGCCTAAGAGCCCCAGTACAACTATTATAGGAACCGCTGTCACCCTTGAGTTCTACAGCACATGGAGACCTAGTCTTATTCCCTAATAGATAGGAACTGACCTGACAATAAACTTTGATAATAAAGATGCTAGACTATGGTGGTTTTAATTACCTGTTAGCATTGTCTAAAGTTACCTTTTAAGCTATTGTCTATACTTTTATTCTCTATCCAGTTTGGTACCAATATATTTATTACACTTTTAAATCAAATAAAAATTACGTGGGATATTACTTAAGACTAGTAATGTTGGTGCCTTTAAAGACAAAAGGAAGAAAACAATGGTTTGGGCGTTTAAAAGGAAGTCTAGCATAAATACAGTACTTTTTCCTCAATCAGCTTGGTTCACATGCTGCAGGGATAGTTACCAAGATTACATGAAGGGAATCCATAAAGGTTATTAACATCGCCGAAAATACACTAATGAATTGACAGATAGAAAACTTGGTATCTTATTTCCTTAAGTTTCTTTAAAACAAGATAGCATAAAGCCAGACACTGATCACCAGGTTCCAGGCCAGCCTGGGCTACATGAGAAGTTCAACGACATAGCAAGATCCTGATCAAAAAACCAAACAAAAACCCACAGAAGTGTCATGAACCCAGAGGCAGCTTAGTCCTCACAATTTACCATATACATAGACTCAAGAAGTACCCTGTCCATGAATGATGGTGGGCATTTTTTGCTCCTTTTTAAATGATCAAATGCTACCAGTCTTTTGGCCACACTGTTAATCTGAACCCAAAAACCTTACCCATTTCCTTCCTCCCAGAAGCACCTTATGATAGGACACAAGTGTTCATCTATGCTCAAAGGACAGTAATCCTTTAGGACACAATCTGGGAACATCTCAGCAACTTCAGGCAATGGAGAGATGTGTCCACAGCACTGGGTGATGAAGGTGACAGAGAATGTATACTAAGCCAGTCCTCAGTCTGCTCAGTAAAGTGAGGCAAGCCTATCAACCCTGACTTTGCAGTGATAAAACCTATAGCTAAAAGACAATTACTTAAATTCCTGAAGAAAAATAACCTGAGATAACTAAAATTTTCTCGTCTCTAGCAGCCTTTTTTCTAACTGAAATATTTTTGTAAGTGCTACTTAGTAATAAGTACTTATGGTTACTTCATGATGGAAGAGATGGCACACAGGATTCCACAACTGGCAGTGGTGTCCGAGACAGAGCCAGTCATCCATGGAACAGAATTTCAAATCTTGGGGCTGGGGATTTAGCTCAGTAGTGCAGCACCTGCCTGACAAGCATGAAGTCCTGAGTTCGAGTCCTGTAGCGCCCCAAAAAAGAATTTCAAATCTTTGAGGGACTCTCTTGAAAATGCTATTTCTTCTACCTTTGCCTCACCATCAACTTCATATCCCACTTTAAAAAACAATTTGAAAACTGGCATGGAAAGCAGACTTTATTTCACAGTATAGACCTGAAAGAGATGGGGAGGCAAAAGGAGTCCTCTGGCATCTATGATCTAGCACAAGGACTGATGACAAGTTTAGGCCAGGTGCAGAGTAGTGAGAATTCTCCAGCTTCAAATTTCTTCTGTGCCACACACACCCTACAGAGGCTGCTACTACAGTGGTAGCAAGACGTGGAGTATCGACTTGTAAGGTTTACCCCATACACCTTGGGAGCCACTGAGGCCCACTGGTGTGGTCTGAAATAGAACCACTTTATTCACTTTGAGTGTCAGTTCAGTTTCTTGCAAACTAAATTCTTGAGGACTATCTCACCTAAAATTCTAAAGGGCCTGTCCTGAGAATTAAAACTAAGCTGCTGTTTTTCTTTTTTAGTCTTACCCTACACATTATAAAAAAGAAATGGTGTACCTTAATAGGAACCTTAGTACATTTTGATTGAAAAGTCTCTGCCAAAATCTCAGAAAACAAGGTTTTTCCCATTTCTGTGCAAGATATATTCTTTTTATGTTTAATAAACCACAAAAAATTTTCTCCCAGAATATTTATTTGTTACATTTAAAGTACAAAATCAAATACACAGATCCAGGTATGTGAACCATATACACAAATCTATATATGCATTATTTAGAACTCCATAAATCCATCTATACAACACTACCCATGACTAAAAGGCAACGTATGTAAAACAAACAGCCAAATAAAACAGCTGGTTATCAGTAACACTGTCAAGTGTAAATTATTTTCACTTTATGACTTTGAAAGGATAGAAATAGCTACTTAATAGAATAACCCAGCATAAATCCAATTTGTTCAAATAGGTATCTTAACACATTCTACAGGAATAAATAAGCATGTCCTTCAGTCTTTGGACAGATAAACGCTAAAAGAAACTTCAGGTACTGGAATACATTTTAGAAGATTAATTACATTCCAAGAGTTTTGTTTGTTTTGATTTTGGTTTTGCATGTGAAGAAAGGATTTGACTTTTGTATACTAGCACAGCCTTTCCATATCATTTGTATACAGTTAAACTGTTGGGACTATGTGTAGCTGTGCAAAATTAAAATGGGTTATTAAAGGAGGTATCTGACTTTTAACACTGTATAGTTTATTTCAACCAAAAGGCATGAGTACAGTTCTTCAGCACAGGCAAAAACCTGGCAGACACAATGTCCTGCTATCATGCAGACTGAGCTATGACAGCTTCTTTAGGGTGTCAGCTATCTTATATGTAGACCATAGGACACCACGATGCAGAGGCCTAAACATCCCATTCCAGGCACAGAATGTCTTCAATGCCTGCTCCCATCAATGGGAACAAATACATAGAAACATGGGTCAATATCACATAGATTTATATTAATGGCTTCATAGTAGCAACACAAAGTGTACTCAAGGTTGCATTTCCATAGGAAAGGTTTTATATATATACTATACATTTCAACCTTGAAATGTGAACCTCAGAACATTCAGCTTTCAATAATCAGTGAATCTGGTGAGCATCCCATACCCTCAAACCCTAACTCAGCAGAGCAAAAGCCCTTCCTTGGCTGCCAAGCGCTGGCGGTGGATTTTGTCTTGCTGCAGCTCTTCGTGATTTGGGTGCCAGAGTTTCATGATGATTCTTTCGATGTTAAGGGCATACACAGTATGTGTAGGAATGACTTCCCTGTGTACCTGGGATTTAAAATTGAGCATGTCTCCAGTTATACGTCAGTAGACTTACTTCTCTAACATTAAAAAAAGAAAGGTTTATACTAATAAAACAGACACACAATCTATCAATTTTAAGTCACCATCTAATGAAACCCAAATGAGATAATAAAACAAGACAACAGTAAGATTCGAAAATAAGTGCAAGATAAGAAAGGAATTGTTTTATAGTTTTTCCTTCACTCTCTCTCTCTCTCTAACTGGATACACAGACAATGAGGAAGGTAAATAGGAAGGACTTCTAGGCTCAGGATTTGGAAAATAGGGCTAGTATTAATGGCTTTAATAATAATAAAACATGAAAAACAGCCAAGAAGTAGGAAAAAAATTAGTGAATCTTCTTACAGACCTGAAGAATCTCTTAACCTGTCCATAAATCCAGATAAAACTTTCAAGAGTCATGAATTACCTGCAAAGCTTCAAAAAGGTCATACATGTTCACTGGAGGCAGAGATGCAGGCAGTGTATCCCCAGAGCAAGCCAGCAAGAGTGCAGCCTGCTGCTCAGCATCATCAGGGGGTGGGTGAGAAGACGGATTCTGACCCGCAAAGGGAGCAGAAAAGGCTGGAGGGCTGAAAAGAACAATTTGAGAAACAGTCCCAGCATGTTCAATGGAGACAAGAGACTAGCTAGACTAGAGTGGTTTGCTAGGTATTGTATTAGTACTTTTAAATGCATTAGAAACCCACTCAGTGTATACATAAGCTGTCTGTAACTTTAATCTTTAAAGAAAGCCCATCTATCAAGCTAGAGATGAAGTATAATCAACTACATTTACCCAGCTTCCTCCACAATGTTAAAATAATTTACTTAGCTCGGGATATCAATTCAAAACTGATTCTTGCTTCTAAACATCTTCCAATTTAAAAAAAATTAATAGAAAACTGAAGGAATATGATGGAACTGAAAACAAATGACATGAAGAGGGAAAGTGTGTAGCTCAAAACTGAATAGTAAGGAAAGATACAGCACCCGAAAAACAATGAGCAGACTGGAGAATGGGGAAAATTAATCCAGATCTTGCTTATTTTCCCCGCAGAACACAAGCTGAGAGGTCAGGCTCAATTTTTACTTTATAGCTCAATGGGAGACAACCTGCATGATTAGGAAGAGCATAACAAAGAGGAAAAACAGAAGAGTGGGACTGCAACCAGTGTGGGTTTAAAGCATCACATGAAAGCAGCCCTGTTAGAACAGCGGCCATGGAGAGGGACTGGCCAGCAGGGGACCAACGCCTCTAGGCACAGTCAGAGACCTCCTCCAACCCACGCTAACAGGGCCATGTTTTGTCTGTTTGGTTTTCTCTAGAGAATAATGACTTACAAACAATCCTGAACAGATAGGCTTGGATGAGAGCTAATCAATGAGTTAACACATACCCCCTCAGCAGAGAACTCAGTTTAAAGTGGTGCTCAACGACCTGGCCTTGTGACTCTCTGGAGGTCTCCATGGCCTCAAAATGGACACTGTTACAACCACTAACACCGTCTGCCCTGTCCAACTCTCAGCTGTCCTACCCCACCTGCCTGCCTTTTCTCGTCCTTCACCACGGTCCTGCCTGCCAACCCTGCCAGCCTTACTCTTCTCTAAACTTGTACCCCTCAATGGCATCCCCTCTCCCTAACTGGCCATGGAGCAGGACTGGCCAGCAGACACACCACCTTCTGTACTGAGAGGAAATTCAATCACTCCTATAACTACGAGGAAGATTCCATTATGCTTTTTTTTCCCCAAAGGGTGAGATTCATACAAAATTTTTTATGCTGTGGGTGTGGGGAAGAATGGGAAGTTTCAGAAAATGAGAGAATACTTGGATAAAAGTAACCTGGGCCACCTCAGAAAGGGTGTAAGAGAGACCCTGGGAGCCCTCGGGGAATGAGGACACAGGAATCCCAGAGCTGAGTTAAGGAGACCACATCTATACAACAGGCGGCCAAAAGCAATCAGAAGACACCAGCACAGGTTACCATCCTGAGCTACAGCTACAAGTCAGAGGAGGACCTGGAAAAACCTCCAACAGTCTTGCTTCACCTCCAAGACAGCAACCTTGACCCAGCAATCACAGTCCATGCATCAGCTGAGAGCAGGCCCGCTCCCCACCACTCAGGGCTACCCGGAAGCAATGCCCGTGGGGTCTCCATTCCACAACTGAGAGTGGAGGCCATTACATTAAACCCACACGCAGCCCACTCTGGGATTCTGCCTCTGATAGAAAAAAGTGCCAGAACAACTCACTAGACAGTATGCAAGACTAAGACCTAAAAAAATAGAATTGTATTGCTGTCAAAGGCACTTTAGTCCTGCAAAAACACAATAATCCATTATATGACAGTGGTCATTACAGAAGCTGAATGTAACTCACTAGCAAAGAGTAGATGCAAAAATTCATAATCACTTACTTTTCTATTAAGTTGTTGTAAGCTACCACACTGTTCTTCAGGTAAGGCTGTGGGATGACATTACTTCCAAAGGCGTATTTAAAATGCCCGTCTCGTAACCGATAGGCTTTCCTTCTGGACACAACTGAGGTCAATATATCTTTAAGGTGATTCTGTAAAAACAAAAGAAATAGCACAACCTTTTTAGAAGCAAGTCATCAATCTTTCATTAACCAAAAACTGTTTAGCACATTTAGATGGAAAAGTGGGATAGGTTAGCACACGTCAGAACCATGTATTGGTCTATTAGCAGGATTAAAAACTTTTTCTTGAGTAATAATGGAAAGTTTCTAAACAAGAAGGAGAGTCACTGGCTCTACCCCAGCCATTCCAGAGCAAGAGGGTATAGGAAAGATGGCGACATGCTGATTGTTATTTAGTTCTCCTTAAAAAGGGTAAAATTTTGTATGTCTGTAACTAAATTGACACTTCTCTCAAAAATGACTTTTAGGAAACAACTTATATTTTAAAAAAGGCAAACTACCTTGAAACTTGGTTTAAAATGGAATAAAATGTTTCCAGATTTGGCATTTACTGGTTATCAAAATCTCTGCATGAAAAGAACCTTTGCTCTCAAAAAGCAACATAAGATATACAGGAAATAAACACAAAAGAATTAGTCAAGACAGCACTGTGCTGTTTTCATACAGAATTCATCTGGCATTTGTAACCTTCAGAGACAGCTATTACTGCTTTTGACGTACACGTTAGGAAAATGAGGGCCAGAGAACTGAAAATAACCTACCGTCCCCTCAGTACTGTCAGGCAGGTGAAATGGATAGTTTGTGAAATGCCTAAATAAACGAATGCCTGAGTGCAACGGTGAGCTGAGACAAGACTCTCATGGTTCAGGCGCTAACTTGCCTGCTCTTCAGGTGCTGTACTCAGCAAAAACAAGGGACCCGAATTAAGATTTCCAGCCTCCCTTCTCTCCTTTGCAAAGGTCCCCTTGCTGACAAATCAAACACCAGACTGCACACAAGTGCGATGGCATCAGCAGTCTTTCTGAAAGCTCAGTCTACTGACTGAAGGCAGTGCTTCAGAATGCGATGCTTTTCTCCCTAAAAAGAAAACAACTTCAGGGGTGAAAACTGACTTTTTTTTTTTGTCTTTTTATCGGTACCAGGGATCGAACTCACGACTGCCTGCTTGCAAGGCAGGCACTTATGCCACTGAGCTAAATCCCCAGCCCCCCTGACTGACGTTCTTTTATGGCAACTTCAACTTCATACAATGCACAAGCCTGTCACATTCGACCCCTATTGTTTCTTTCTGCCAAGAGCAGAACCAACCTCCACCGCGTAGACCACAGCTGACACGGCCTCCTCGGTCACATTGTCCAGCCCATGCTCGTAGGCAGTCACTATCATCCTCCCCTCCAGCTGACCTCGGGTGGGGAGCATCATTGTGTGGGAGCACAGCTTCAGGTCGTCGTCGTCTTGGGGATCCTTGGCCACAAACTGCTGAGCTCCAGAGAGGGGATTCTGAGGCTGGAATCTATGCTGTGAGTAAAAACTTCAGTCATTCATCACAATAAAACATAGTAAGATACAAAAAAAAGTAATCATGCATTGAACTGGGGATCCTATAAATTAATGCCAGAAAAACTATACAACATGGGGGAAAATAACAAAAGGTAAAAGGGGAACTTGTTCACACACACACATAAATCACAAGTTTAGGGAATAACATATGTATTCACAGTTTGTTCAGTCAGCACCTAGGTGATCACAGGATGTACGCCCCTGTGCTCAAAATAACAGAAGGAAGCTAGGAATGGTGGCACAGTCCTGCAATCCTAGCACTTGGGAAGCTAAGGCAGAAGGATCACCAAGAGTTCCAGGCCAGCCTGGGCTACATAATAAATTCAAGGGCACCCTAAACTATATAGTGAATAGACACCATCTGTCTCAAAAGAAAAGAAACAAAGAAAGAATAGAAATAGCAGGAATAGATACACAAGTATACTGAAAAGGTGAAGACTTAAACCTAAGGAATGCTTCAAGATAAAACTGCAACACTGTGTTCACAATATAGTTACTGTTATTTTATACTTACAATTCTCAATACATAACCTTTCTGGACATAGTTACACAATCTAAAATCTTTTTCATTCATAAAGTCACAGCTTTCTTCAGTAAACTGATGGCCCATTCATCCCCCATTATCACTACTCTTGCTAGTTTTGGCTCAGACCCCAAAGATTTTGTAGAAGCCAGGGATGGCAGCACACACCCCTAATCCTATTCAGGAGGCTGGGGCAGGAGCATCACAAGTTTGCTTAGATTACAAGCTAAGGTAGAGAGACCCCATCACAAAATTTTAAAAACAGCTGAGGAGGTAGCTCAGTGGTATAGTACCCTTGGGTTTGAAGCCCAGCACCACAAAAAAAAGAAACTTTTGTTGTAAAGATAGTCTGTCCAGGTTTGCTTGTATTGACTCTAGGAAGGGGTAAAAAAGGAATTAAGATGTGTTATATGCATGTACCAACTACCCATGATGAATGTAACCATTATGTACTGCATTCATGTACTAATGAAAAGTTCTCTTAAAACAACCAATCTCGTTATTTTTCATTTTTCTGAGTATAAAACTATTTCATATTGAAGGTATCTTTTTAAACCAGGGATGCATTTCTGGAAAAGATGAGACCCTATATACTGAATATGATGTTCAGTATATACTGACAAAAACCACAGGGTAAAGGTAGAAAGAAGTAAACGTTGGTGTCAGTCAATGAAGGTATCAATACCCAGTCTACCCTTCAAATGGATACTTCTGTAAAACGTCTTTCCCTAGATACACACTGGAAAATTCAAGTTATTCTAAAATGTTTATTAATTTTATGGCCAAAAGGCCTACACTGTTCCAAAAGGACCCATCTGGGCATCATCAGGCGCCTCACAGAGGCCTCTACAACATGGCATTTGGAAAAGATCCTTCAAGAGCTGAGAAACACTATTCACTCAAGGGAAATACTGAAGGAGAGAAAACCAGGCTTAGATTTGCATCACTGAAAACAAGGGCTAAGGATAACATATTAATATTTAACAAGGAACAAGCAAGAATTTTCAACAGTCTAACTCACAACCTTTACGACTCCTCTCTTGACCCTACTCTTTTTTCCAACTCTTATCTATTCATGTATATTCAAAAACTAAACCTAGTTCACCCATGACCCTTAAGCCACTGGTTACCAAGATCTGCTGGGAAACAACCTACATCAAATTTCTGACGAACGGAAGAAAGCTTTTTCTTGGCCTTGGGTTTTCCAGGTTTGGCTGCAGAGCCCCCAGTCCAGGGCAAAGATCCAGCACCTTCTGCAAGAAAGAAAAACAGCTGCCATAAGTGGAAATAATGACAATTGTTAACTGCTAAGTGTATTTTGTTTGTTTGTTTTTGTACCAGGGATCAAACTCACGACCTTGTGCTTACCAGGCAAGCACTTGAGCCACTGAGCTAAATCCCCAGCCCACGTGTGTTTTCATTTGGGACTAAAATGCGGGCCATTCTCAAGCAATGAAAAGAAATCACAAATGGCCAAAGTGAGACCTTCTCTTTATACTTCTCCACAAAATTATAAATCCTCTCGCATCACATTTTGTTCTAGCTGCAACCAAAATTATTTTTTTAGAAAGACAAATTTGCTTTTTACATTTGAAATAAATGTTTACTGAGTACTCTGTATCTCAGTAGTATTATGATAAAAGCAGGACAGATTCCTCGAGCCCAGATGGTAAACCAAGCACATGAGTTTCTTCCCTTTTAAAATCTGCACTGAAATGAGAACAGAAAAGGGTGAACGGCACACATTCCAAGCAGAGACAAAACGGAAGATGACAGCTCAGTGACTTCCACGATGGCCTAGCACGGCGCTGCCAAACAAAAAACATGTGGAAGTTACCACCCAAGAAAGGCAAGAAGATAGCAAATGAGGTCAAAGCCAAGCTGAAGCCCACGGGAGAGTGGAAACTGGGCGTGGGGGGGGGGGGTCCATAGACAGAAAGCCATTATTAACTGCAGGTCTGTATTTAAAATCATCCACATGAACACGTCCCCTCATTCCAGGGCCTGACTCAGTATACAATAAAGAAAAACAAGAGGACCTTGGGATACAAAAAAAATTTGAGACAGTGATGGGAAAACACCAAACCATGGCTGCAGGCCACACCCCAGAGGCAAAGACACCCCAGTGGCTGCTTGCTGGCTTGCACATGTGCGCTGGACAGAGCAGGGACCAGGAAGTTGGGGAGGGAGGCATGACCCTTCTCCAGTCACGCTAGACCAAGTTTGTCGAACTTACTGAGGCAGCTGTAAAGATACTGGGACCCTGTAGCAAAGTTCCCTCAAGCTAGTGTTTGAGGACCCCAGCTGAAGGCCCGGCTTCCCGTCAGCTCATTAAGGCAGTCTCCACACAGTTTTATCCTACACCTCTTTAAACTGGTAAGAAAACAAATCACCACACGTGACCACATTCGGGAACATGATGCTGTAAACCCTCCTTCAGCACTACAACCAGACACCTGTGGCAGGCTAACTTTACAAAGGAGAGGGACACATTTAGCTAAGAGTCCTGGAGATGCCCGGACAGGGCGCCTGCATCAGCTCAGCACCAATGAGAACCGTGGCAGACAGCACACGCTCAAGAGAGGACAACAGCACACAGCCAGTGGGAAGGAGAAAGCAACTCAGGGGTCAGACTGTGGCTTGCTTTCATAAAAACTCACTTTCTGACAAGCTCAGGGGTCCCAAAGGCGCTTCCTAAACCCCTTCTCAAGGCACCCCCCCTACTGACCCACTGCCAGGCTCCACATCTCACCACTGCTCCACTGACAACCAAGCGGCCAACACAGGAGCCCACGGTGGATAAGCCACATCCAAATGACAGCCCAGGATAAGAAAGACCAAGTTAACTGTTAACTGATCTTTAATAGACATCCTAAAGCAGGAATGCAAAAAAGTCTGCCAAATTTCTATCTGGTACCTTAGAAAAGTTTGAGAAGACACGTAGCCATAAACAAGAGAATACTATAAAAATGGTCGACTTAAAGAATGTATTAAGCAGCCTAAAAGAACTAAGGGAATCTCAGAGAACACAGGGCAACAAGGCAGAGATGTCTAATTTGGCACAGCCTGATCTCTGCTATTAAGTTCAGACAATCATCAATGATTTCTTAAGAGATCAACTCCAGATAAATGCAAGTGGATGCTAAGTAACATGACAATGAAGTGAACTTTCTGCAGGCCAGAGCGTACAGGTGGCTGCTGCTGCGGGAACAGAGGCTTTGTGAGGACGCACGTCAGAAGAACTGACCCTGGCCAAAGGAAGGGTTTTCCTAGCACTCAGATGCTTCATCCTACTCTTCCCTGTGGTCTGCAGGCCTTCAGGCAAGTTTCTGGGCTTCCCTTTTCTCATGCAAGTCTATAAGGCGATACCACCCTCAGAGATGTGAGGAGCTACAGTCACTCGATTAGTAGTTAAAAATCATTTTTTCTGCCTGACTTAGAAAAACAGAAAACAACTCATTCACAAAATACTGAGTGTCCCATGAAGAAATACATTCTTAGGTTCCAAATGGGGTATTTCTTCACTTATTTGTAAAAAATAATACACACTGAAGAATATCATGTTTTTACTTAATTAAAACCAGCTTACCTATACTTACTAATACGACTTCATGTGTATATGGCTTTTTACTTTTCAAAGTACATTTTTATATTTTTGTACCTGTATTTTCATGAAATTATAGAGTAGATATTACTGTCCCTATTCTATAAATGTGAAATCTAAAAACCCCAAGCAATTGACTATACAAGCTAGTGGTGACACCTCAACTTGAACCTGTGTCTCTTAAGTCCTACCAACCAGATTTATCTGTGATCATTTCATTCACCTTCTGGGTGTGTGGTACTTTACAATATAACTACCTAACGAGGTAAGGGAGCAGCCATCCCTCTACACCAACCTCCATGACAAATGCCCACTGCCCACTCTGCTTAACATCACTAATAACTTCTTTGAGAGTGGAGAATTAGGGGTTAGAAGTCCTTATGTGAGTCTTTATTATACAATAAAGTTAGATATAACCACACAGAGGGATGATACAAAATATGTTATCATTTTTGTTAAAATATGGCATTTTGATACAAAATAATCAGAATTACCCTCATCACTTGGGGTGAGAGGGATGACAACTTATATTCGTAAGAGGCACCTACCTGTAAATCCAAGCTTCTAACAAAGTCCAGGACAACTTTTATCATGAACAAGTTTTTAAAGTACCCAATAATTTTTTTTTGCCTGATTAAAATTAAGATGCTTAAAGAGGTAAACTGTAATTCAGTCTACTACTTAGCTCCACAAAGGAGTCAATGTTTCGATCTGCAACTCTTTAGGCTGATGCAGCAAGCCAAGTTTTTACCAACCTCCCCATTATGCTGCTTTTCTCTACTTACTTAACATGCACGCTAAAGCTACCTTACTTAGAATACAAATCAAAGTCCAGGCTCCCGACATATACTGCGGTTTCCCCACCACAGAATTCACCCTCCCTACCTCTCTTTATCCCTCCTACCTTCTTCCTCACTTTTCACTTAACTTTTTAAGTTCTCTAAAATGTAGAGGAAGGTTAAATAAAGACCAAAACAATGTAAGAACAAGGAAGTCACCTGCTTTAAAACTGCTCTGTACAAGACACACACTGCCTTACCTGGTGTAGAAACCAAAATCTGACAACGCGTGAGAATGGCCAGGAGGAAATCATTGTGAGAATGAACTGAAAAGGGAAAGTTGTCAAAAATCAAATACAAAATATTGTCAACATTAGAAAACCTCTACTTTAGTCTAGCTTGAAAGGATTTTTGAACGTCCCCATCCTTCACATTTTATTTTAAATATCCACATTAAGATGACCTTATATGTCATTAAAACTAAAATTTTACTTTTCAAACAATTTAATTTCTTGAATCTCGGCAATAAAGTAACTCCGCAGACAATCATTTTACCATTGTCCTGTGTGAGAAGTCTATGAGCTTCCAGGTCAAACTCTTCCTTGCTGATCTTCTGCTTGAACCACAACTTTAAGTTAGCCCAGTATCTGAAGAAGCAGAAAGAGAATATTAAAGGACAGATTTTGCTTCTTCCCCAAGTTCACTTCAGCTGCTTCAACTCCCAGGGAAGGAAATTTGAAGAATCATTGTCTGCATTTTATCTTCCCCTAAATCAGTGTGCAGAAGCCCTAACCCCAATCCCTCAGAATGTAATTACATTTGTAGATGTAACCTTTTAACAGGTCAAGGAATTAAAATGAGGCCACTTGTGTGGGTACTGATCAAGTACAGCTGGTGTACTTGTAAGAGATCAGGACACAGAGACTCCCGACACATGCAGACAGGTGACCATGCTCGCACACAAGAAAGTGATGTCCGTAGGAGAAGCCTCCAAAGAAATCAAACCCTCTCACATCTTGATCTAGGACTTCCAGGTTCTAGAACTGCAATAAAGCAAATTTCTGCTGTTTAAACTTCCCCGTCTGTGATATTTTGTCATGGCAAGTTCTAGCAAACTAGAACATCTAGGAATCAGAATAGCAGCAAAGAAACAGAAAGTTCTCCCTAGAAAGAGATAGCCAGATTCTCTGAGAATTGGAGCCACCCAGCTAAAAACCACAGTTGTACCCTTTCTTCTCAGTGACACCTTTCTGAAAGACTTCTTCTTACCTTAGGGATTCCTAATCTACAGAGTCCCCCTTTAACATGCAGTTGTGTTCTAAGAGAAGGGGTGTGATTATTATACTTATTCTGGAGGATGTCTTTCCCTTCCGATGAACTCAAGTTTTAATCTAACTGCCTCAAAAAATAGGTTTCTAAATTTCTTACCACAAAGACAAGACTCAAGGCCATGAGACACTTAGTGGTTTTAAAAATAAAAACCTGCACTTAAAAATAAAAATGACTAAATAAATAACTGATAGAAAAAAATTTTACCTTTGATACTTTAGCAACATTGTAAGCAACAAGAGAAAATATATCTTTCACATCCTGTTTAAGGAAGCCTTGGTGGAACAGGATTAGAAGTGACTCTACAAATTACTACCTTCAGCTCAACCTCATCTTGCATTCCAATGCTCCCTGGAGTTCCCCCAATGGTAGAAAACTTTAAAAATTCCCAAAGGAGATGGTTTGACACAGTGTCATATATATCCACAGAGGAAGGGCTTCTCCCCCACAAGTGCACAGGCTTCAGGTTGTGTTAATATGTAACTCTGTAAGTAGCTGTGCATGTAATCAGGTGCACAGTTTTGGGTCTCTGTGCATTTTAAAACCCATAGCTTTTATAGAGAGTGGCGCAAGACTTAAGACACTGCCACTTTGGTCAACAGCAAAGCATTTTTAGCTGTAGTACCCAGTAGCCTTTCACCTAGTGTTCACACACTCACAAGTCATTATGTCATCAGGAATTTCAAGAGTAGACACTTCTGTATTATTTTGGGGAGATGGGGTCTTGCTTTTGTTACTCAGCGTGGCCTTGAACTCCTGGAACTCAAGCAATGCTCCTGCGTCAGCCTTCAGATTGGCAGGGCACTTGGTTATTCTTTTTAAGAAACAACAAACACAGGAAAAACCATGAAAGGAGAAAAATAAATCTTCCCAGAAAACCAAAGGTCTTTTTTTATTCCATTGTGTTCAACACAAGATCATAACAGAATACCTTTACTATTTAAAAGCCCTGGAGAGACAGAAATAGAACCTATTTGGCATGAGTGAACTTGTTTCAGAATTAAGTCAAGGCTGTACCAGGAAGTTCTGCCAGTAGGATGTTATTTGTCCTCAAGACAGACTTTCCACCAGCCAAATAGAACTGCCATCAAGAATTGAAGGTTTGCTCCCCAGTCCTGCTGCCTATTAGTTTGCTGCATGAGGCAGACAAATGCATACTTCCCTTCACAATACCAAAACAGAGTTAGCCAATCTCTAGGAAAGTAAGGATGACAGATGAGGAGTGGCAAAAAGCTGGACCAGGAAACACTGGAGGTACCTGGAGAAAATTAAGTACTCTATCACCAAACCTTCAAAAATATTCAGCATCTATTTGAACATAAACTCTGATACTACACAAAGTGAGTTTGCTAGCAGTGTCCACGTCCTTGTGGAACCTGACACAGGTGACAACTTGACCTGGCATACATAAAGGACATTTGGGGTCACTGGGTAAACTGTAATGGTTCCCATGCAGGCTCTCTGCATAATTTTATGTTTTACCCGTCACCACTCAGGACTACGTTTAAATGGCCAAGTTGTACAAACCAAAGCAAACTGCTTCTGAAGACATGAGTGTATAGCATTATTACAGATTGTTTAACCACAGGCACCTGTTAGGGAACCAAAGGGGAAGCAGGGCAATGAAAGAATGGCAACACAAAAGCAAAACAATCAACACTGCACCATTAGCTTTCTTAGCAAAGACACCTTTGGTTACATTTTTACTATGCATTCATGCTACAGATGCACCCACATCCAGCCATATTGGACCAACATTAGAAAATCAGCTTCCGCCTTTAGATACATAATAAGACACGAACAAAACATGCCGGGCATTTTTTTTTCTCTTCAAACTATGTCTGGCAATCCTTAACTCACTGTGTTCGAGTAGTTAACTATGGAATCATGGAGGGCAACGTTGTATCTAATCAAGGTTAAAGCCAATCAAACACACAAGTCCTGTCTCTCAAATTTACTGTAGTATGAAATCATTCACCTTCAAATATTTGTAAGCACTGTAGATGAAACACAGTGAAAATGCAGTACACATGTAAAAGGCTACAGTTACTCTGAGTGTGAAAGTTGTCAAGCATACCTTTTAAAATAAGCGTGTTTAATAAATTAGTAAGGACTAAACTGACAGTAAACAAATATTAAAGTGTGACTTTTAAGTAGGCCACTATATCTTTTGAAGTCACCTAAGGTTTACAAAAAATGAAGTAATTCTGCTGCTAAATTCAGTCTTTGTCTGATTTCTTGTCTTTTGTTAGGAGGAAAAGGCCATAACTGCTACCCCAAAATCTCACATGAAGGAAAAATCTCCGAAATTCATTTGCGACACCGCAGGCTAAGTAATGTAATCCAGTGTTAATAAAGAGATGGCTGAAAATAAAGTACTGGAGAAAAAGTATTCCCATATACCTTGTTCATCTACCATCATTGGAAGTCATCTACTGAGTAGTGAAAATGGAGAAGGCACCGCAGAGGTCATCCAGTAGCAACCACACAGGGCACTAAAATTTTAAATTTTGAGAAGTGCTTCCTAGATTGGGGGGGGGGGGAGTCTGAGACCGGATCTCCCGACGTAATTTAATCTGGTTTTGAACTCATTATGTAGCCCAGCCCGGCCTCGAACCCGCAGTGATGTTCCTGCTTCAGCTTCTGAGAGCTGGGATTACAAGTGTGCATCACCACGCCCAGCTACTTACTACATTTTTGAAAAATAAAGCTATTAACCGAAAGTGTCAGAAACGTCCTTCTTCCTGGAAGGGGAGGGGTCCTGCCGCGGTATCCCCCGGCCTGGCCCCAGGCCGCCAAGGGTGGGTCCCTGTGGGGACTGGGGTTCGGAGCCAGGAGCGCGGCTGGCAACAGACAGGCAAATCAACCGCGCCCACCCCGCCCCCGCCCCCGCCCCCGCCCCCGCCCGGCCCCGCCGTGGGGCTCTGCACGGGTTTGCTGCCTGCTACAGTTACAGCCTCCCAGTAACAGTCGCGACACGGGGGGCCGGGCCTGGGCTCCCCCGCGTCCCGCCGGACGCTGAGCCGCCCCACTGCGCCTGGGGCCCAGAAGCGCGGCGCCCCCGGCCCCACCCGAAACCCGCAGCGCCCCGGAGGACGCCAGGCTGCCCAGGCCCGGGTCGGAGAGCACGGTCTCCCCGCGGGGTCGCCTCCCGAGCCCCGACAGCGCCCCCCGCGCTGAGCTGAAGGCTGCGCGCCCGCCGCCCTTACTGCTTCACGTTGTCCCCCAGGGCCTCGCTCAAGTTCTTCTTGGCCGCCTCCAGTTCGCTCACAAAGGTCGCCATTGCACCCCGCGTCTCGGCCCGACCGCACACTACCCCACCTCCGCGACCCCCAACCGAAAAGCCAACTGAGCGGAAGGCCTCGGCTCCCGGATTTTCAAACCGCGCCCGGACGCCCCGCCCCCGGGCGCTCCGAAGACGTTTGTTAGGTTATCGGCTCCGCCCGCCTGAATGTCGGGAAGGTGCCCGGCCAAACACAGCGTTCCTCCTCCCGCCCCTTGCGTCACGTGACCCACTTCACCTATTCGGCGCCTCGCGCCCCACCTAAACCTGCCTGCCCCGCCCAGCTGCCTGGCTCTGCGGTTTGGCTCCTCCCAGCCAGCCGGATTAGCATAGGTTGTCCGTTTAACGTTATTTTTGCGCTTAAATTTTTGCTGAGAGCTAGTCATTTGATGGGCGGTTTAGTCGTTTTTCTTTTCTGCGTCCAGAAATTCCAGGAAAATGCGATTCGTGCGTGGTTTTTGTTTTGTTTTGGGACTGGGATTGAACCCAATTCCCTCTCGGTGAGCTCCATTTTTAAAAAAATTTTTTGAAACAGCTCCATTTTTAAAAAAATTTGAGACAGCATCTAAGTCTTTTAGTTGCCCAGCTGAGCTAAAATCTGTAATCATCCTGCCTCAGTCTCTTAGAGGGCTGGGATTACAAGCAGGCACTGCCACGCCCTGCTAGGATTCGTGTTTGACTTTTTCCTCCCATTCCTAGAGCAGCAGGTGGCACACGGTGAGTGCTAATGTATACTTCCTAACTGAATGAGGAAATAATAGGAAACAGGAAAAATACATAAAGAGTGCTTTACCAATTCCTGGTAAACACTTAACAAAGTTGTCCTTCGCTCCCCTTCTTTCCCGTAATTTATAAGCATTTTGTTTTATTTTTTGTCTTTCACAAATTTAGCTCAAATACTTGGTAGCCTCATAATTTAATGACAGTGTTTTACTCCAGAAAAGAATTTACACAATAACTTGTTTCCAATTACCAGATTATTTTCATTTTATTCTATATTAAAATCATAACACAGGGAGGGGAGTAAGGAAGAAGTAAAAGGAACTGAAGCTGTGTTGTATACATGTACCAACTCCCCACGATGGATGTAATCACAATGCACTGCAAACATCTACCAATAAAAAAGTTTTAAAAAGTAATACTGCAATAATGTCTCTATACACAAAGCTTTTCCTCATTTGGATTATTATTTTAGGATAGGGTCCTATAAATAGATTTATGAAATTAAATAGTAAGAATGTTTATATGTAAGTATTTTGCTACAAGTTGTCAAATACCTTCCAAAAATTTATAATCCTACATACAAAATGCAAGGCTTGGGCTGGGGATGTAGCTCAGGGATAGAGTTCTTGTCTTGCATGCACAAGGTTCTGGATTTGATCCACAGTACCACACATACACACACATATATATGAAAGAGTTTTGCCCTAGAATAAATTACTGAACGGTTATGGCGGTGGTCTAACGTGGCGCAAGGCCAAAGCAGGAACCCCTACCACTTCCTGCTTCCTCCTCAGCCTTAAGGGCAACTCCTCTTCCTGTCTGCATAGGAAGAAAACTCCAATCAGCTGCTCCCATGTCATCAATGTCTGCCCTACGCACCACCCCCTGGTCAGAGGTTATATGTGTATCCCATACCCCACATTCTAGTCAGAGGAGGCTAGACCATTATATATTCAAGAGTAGTCATCCTATAGATAATCCACAGAGGCTAAGCCTCTCAAGCATATTCATGTATTCATCCAGTTGCATCCCGATGCCCAGCACAACACCCCAGGCTGCTGCTGCCCACACCTTTCCTACAATCTCCACACATTCTTAGGTGCTGGAGTTACAAAAACAAACATTGAAAGGAAAATCTTCCTCTCTATCATAAAACTTGAGAGAAATTTTATCCTTTAAAAAATGTTAATGCAAACACCCACTTAAGCATTCCATACGCCCCCCCCACACACACTCACATGCGCACTGGCTAGTGAGCACATTCCAGGCATTCACGTGTTCCTATGAGCTGGAAATCAGTTGACCTGTCCACCTCAGACACATCCCAGTCTTTCCTGAATACCCAAGACTGCAATCTGCATGCTAATTAGCTTAACTTTTTATATAACAAACCACATTATTGGGTCCTTTTCCACATATCCCCTCTGCAGGTTTCCAAACTGGGGGTTCACCAAGGCCAAACATACAGGGGATGATCAGCTATCTGGTAAACATTTAATTTGTTATAGTAAAAGACGTATTGCCACCCTCCACACCTCCCTCCCCCCAATTCCTCTCACTTGGAATCCATTTATTCCACCATTGTTGCTGAACCAGTTCTGAAGTCCTCTCTTGTAGCACATGTCTGAGTTCAAGGCCAGCCTGAACTACGTAGAAATTCGGTCTCAAAAAGAAAATTAAATAGAAAAATACAGTGAATGCTGCTTTACGTACCTTCCAACAGAAAGGCAAGCTTGTAAAAGCATTACTGTGTGTCCTCATCTACCTTATTTGAAGAAGCACCCATGCAACGTCTGACTTTTCCTTAAAGTCAAGATGACCATGAGTAAGGTGCACATTATGATTCAGTTTGAGACTTCAAGGCAGCCACGACAGCACAAGAAAAAAAAAAAGACTTCTACTTTCCACTTTAGAAAGTGACAAGAGAAATGAGATAAGTGGGTTAGAAATGTTGATGTTTTGAGGGGGATTCATGGCAATGTGCCTTTTACTGTAACAGTGGTTTGGTATCCACCTTATTTTTTGACCAGAGATTGTACACACAAATGCTAGAGGGTCAGTTGAATAGAACTAGGAAAGAGCACAGATGTCTAGCTGCATCTTCCTCCTTCCATTACAATCCTTGATTGTCAGCTCCATCTCAACCTACCAGTAAGAAAGGTAAGACTCAAAGTTTATGTTTTGAACCCACCTTTGACCAGACCCATACAGCTCTAAACATCTAACTTGACTAAATATTCATTTGTCTCTCGGCAGTGTATGTGACCATTGGCACTAATTTTAGTGTATTCAGTTAAATACCCACTTAAACTGTAGTGTTAAATGGTAAAATATACACAAATAAACATCTGACTAAATAAATGTACTTAATAGAATGAATACTAAAACCACTTGTACTTTGGTGGTTTACTTTAAAGAAACTAATTCTAAATCTTTTTAATTATTGTAACCCTTGCGTGGTGCATACCATATAGGCAACTTAATATAGCTACACACACACATTGTATGTGAATGTGCTTTGTAAAATAATAAATGTTAGTGTAGCTTATCAACCTATTGTCTGAGCCATTCTATACCGGTCTTTTTATCCCTCAGTTACAAGCTGGCCTCAGAGTACTGGTAAAATCAACTCAGTAGGATGTTAGGAGCAGACACTGTGTGAGGATTCTTCTTTGCCCACTCTTGGAGAACAGTCAGCTCTTCAGTGGCTTCCATACCCACACATTCACCAAATACGCATTGAAAATATGTAAAAATCCTTGTGTCTTTAAGAAACATCCACAGACCTTTCTGTCTGGTCATTCCTTAAATGATACAACTGTGTTTGTGCAGCATTTACATTGTTTTAGGTAACGGCTGTAATCTAACTATAAATAATGTATGGGGGAATTCAGGGAGGTAATACACAAATACTGCCTCATTTTAGATAAGGCACTTGAGCATCCATCTGCACGGTTTCCTATATCCGATCCTTCAGAGATATATAGCAGGACAGCTGTATTTATTTATGAATATTTTCCCTGGAATATATATATATATATATATTCCACAGTAAAATAAGTATTGCCATGTTTACACTATCAATATCATCTTTTTATTTAATTAGCATGAATAATTGATGTTCTTATTCTCACATATTACCTTTTTTCTTTTGTAAATTCTGTACAAACACAATGCAAAGGAAAACTGCCACCACTTGTCAGTTATTTTACTCTCATGCCTTGTGTCTAAATGTCCCCTGAAAGCCTCATGTGGTCATAGATAGGGCTTTTTCAGAGGTGGCTGGGTCTAGAGTGTGTAACTGATTTATGGTGCCAGGATTAAGGGTGTGAGTGCTGTCTGCCCTGGATATGATATAAGGGACAGAATGAGACTTGCTGCTAATTACTTGTCATTTGTCACTTGCTTTTGCTGTCTTCTGCTGCCATGAACTGCTTCTCCTCTGTGACACCCCTCTGCCATGTGCCACCATGCCTTGGAACCATATAGACCATAGAATGAAACCTCTGCAAACTGTGAGACAAACTTTTCCTCCTGTAAGTCTGGTATTTTGTCTCAGCAATGAGAAAAGTAACTAAGACACTTACATATTCTTGCAAGCTTAACCTCTGTCTACTCAGTTCTGGGTTTTATTAAGCTTTGGTTTGGGGAATCACATTAGATTTTTTTTTTATTATAAAAGCACTGAATAGGAGATCTACCCTTTGTAACAAATTTTTTGAAACTTGATCTTTGTTACATTGTTCAGGCTGGCTTGAATTTACTATGTAGCCCAGGCTGACCTCTAACTCAGCCTGCTGCATCAGGCTCCAGAGGTCCTGGGATTACAGAAGGGCACCACCATGCCCAGCTATAACAGATTTTTAAGAGTATGTTATTGTTGTAGAGCAGAGATTACCAAAATTTATGATGAGTAACTTTTTACTTTTCCTTTGCCCCAGTCCCTGGAAATCGCCATTTTACCTTTGATTCTATGAATTTGATTGTTTAAGATACTTCCTATAAGTGAGATCACGTACTATTTGTCTCTTAGCAACTTTCCTTTTTAAGCACTGGAGAGTGAACCCAGGGAATTTCTGCCTCTTACCTACTTGCACATCTCCAGCCCCTTTTGTTTTTCATATTGAAACAGGCTCTCACTAAGCTGCCAGGCTGGACTCAAACTTAACTCATGCTGCAGCCTCCTGAGTAGGTGAGACTATGGGCATGTGACACTGCACCCAGCCTTGTAACTGTTATTTCCCCTTAGCATAATGTCCTCAAGGTCCATCTGTGTCATCACATACTGCAGAATTTCTTTCTATTTCAAGGCCGAGGAGACAGACCACATGTCTCTCTTTTTTCTTTCTATTGCTTTTGTTGGTACTGAGATTTGAACCCAAGTTCTCTGCATTGTCTCT